CTGCCCACTGTTTCTCCCGGGAGGCCCGCTTACTTCCGCTTCTTGCGCTGGTTCCCGTGCAGGACCTCGCGCACCGCCTCATACAGGGTGTCGCGGGAGACTTTGCTGCTGCAAAGAAAAGCGAGAACGTTTGGAGCCGGCCCTCCGCCGAGCCAAACTTCCTCCCCAGCCCCGCCACATCAGGGCTCCGCGAGAGGAGACTGAGGCCCAGAACCTGGCGAGAAACAGACCCACAGAGCCCGACAGTGCAAAAAATGCCCCGCCGGCGCCAAAACTCTCGGTAGGGCAACTACAAGCACAGATGGACGCGGATAGCACTCTGAAACTCAGTTACCTCATGGTTCCTCGCGCTGCGGCAACCGGAAAAGAAATTAGCAAATTCAAGCATGCGCAGAAATAATCGTCCTGCTCTCGCGAGAAATCCCCCGATCCCGCGGGCTTACATCCAGCGCATAGTTCGAGCGCTCAGCCGTGAGCACTGCCGGATGCGGCCGCTGGAGGGCGCCGCTGGAATGTGCCGCGAGAGCCGGGGTGGGCTGGGCTGATGGTGCTCGGGTCCCGTTGGCCTCGTTTGCCCAGCTGCTGCCCGCCGGGCTCTTAACTGAGGGGCCGAGTCTAAAGCCCAGCACGGAGTCCCGATCTCGTGCCGGACCCCGTTTTAACCTCGCGTGGCCTTCGTCTCGCGCAGTAATGGAACTGTGTATTTTTTTGAGATTTGCAGAACTGAAAAAGCATCTGGTGGCTAGATTAGAATTAGGGTTGGATTCTCGTCCTTTAGCTACAGCGCTATGAGAAGGTGCCCACCGGCCCTCCGGCAAAATGGCCTTCCGACCTCTGGATCCAAACTTTCCCACTAAAGTCATCTCTATCTTGTCTCTTGACTTAAGGGGCCTGTCTTGTGGGAGCAGGGTCACCTGGTCACAGCCTGGATACAGCACTGTGAAGACCGCTGGCGGTGATTCCGACACATCCATCCTTCAGACCTCTGCCTGTGTCCTCTGCGTCAGCTTCTGTTCTCAAAACCAGGCTTTATCCCTTGGCCCGACCTCCCTCCCTCCCCATCCTGCTGTAACAGGGACTCTAGGAAGTGCCCAGGAAGCTCTGATCCTGGCCCCACCTGCAGCGGGGGAGGGCAGGGAGCGTGGCTCGCAGATGCTCCTCGATCCGGGATTCAGTAACAGAAGTGTTTCCCATACCAGGAGCCTCGCCAGGTGCTGGGGAGACACAAGGCCCGTGGCGCGGCACACCCACTTCTGCCCGAGGGGTGAGTGACCCAGGAAAGCCCTGCGGTGCCCTCCGCCATCGCCTGCCCAAACCCTTCATCAGCACCACAATGAGTCTCTCGCACCTAAGCCCCCAGGGGTGGCTGAGCGCCTCACCCGTGTGACAGTCACCTCTGACGGGCCTGCGGTGGCTGGCACCACACGGTTCTGGCCCACAGTATGCGAGTGAATTCAGAACCAACGCTCTGCAACCTTCCCCTCCCTGGGAAGCAAATGCCCTGTCCCTGAGCAGGGAGAGCGGGAAGTTTTGACACAGGCCCCAGGGTCTGAGCTGCCCTCCGTTTATTAAATACGATGTGTATGGGTAAGGGTCGGGGATTTAGCTCAGTTGTTCCACGTTTGAGCCCCGGCACAAAAGTAAAGAAATACGATGGGTAAATTACTCCGGAGTCTCGGTGCCTGCAGTCCGAGCAGCCCCTTCGAGTGCAGCAGCCTGAGGACAGGGCTCGGGACAAGGCAGCAAGGGCAGAAATGTCCTTCAGGAGCTGGTGCCGGGGCTCCAGGAAGGCGGCTGATGGGTGGTCAGCGGGCCAAGCGTCTCAGGGCAGCTTGCAGGGACTTCCGCAGGAAGGTGGCGTGGGGCTCCAGGGCCACAGCCAGGCCCAGCCTCTGGGTCACAGTGATCTGAGGGCAAGAAGAACCCGTGGGGGCCGGCAGCCATCCTACCCGTCCCCTACCCATCGACTCTGTCAAAGAACAGAGAGGGAAGCCAGGACTCGAGAGCCAGGGAAGGAGAAGCAGCCCGAGACTGTGTCCGATTCCACTTCCCTGGGAGGACCTGCTGCGAACGTCAGGAAATCCACAGATGGGCCCATGACCGTGACTCTCAAGAAAAGGATAGAACACCAGCTATGGGGGGCAGTGCAGAGCTGCTATAATTGCAGCAGTGACTCGGGAGACTGAGGCAGGAGGATCATGAGTTCAAGGCCAGCCTGGGCTACAGAGTGAATATGAACTCTACTGTGACCCCGAAGGAGGAGAAAGGAGAGGAGATGGGGGGAGAAGGGAGGAAAGGAAAAGAAAAGAAGATAAAACACCAACAGCTAAGGACATGCAGCCCTTAAGAGAAAACTACAGATTAAGCTCCAGCCCATGACCTACAGGGCCCTCCATAAAATGCTGCTAGCTGGGCAGTGAGACCTTGAGCGAGTTACTTTCACCCGAGTCTTAATTCCTCATCTATAACATGGAGCTGCCAGGCACCACGGCACACCTGTAGTCTCAGCTACCAGGAAGGCTGAGGCAGGAGGATCATTTGAGCCGAGGAGTTTGAGACCAACCTGGGCAACATGGCGAGACCCTAACTCGGGAAAGGGTGAGGCAGTGAGACAGACAGAGACAGGGGAAGAGGGAGAAAGGGAGGGAGAGAGAGAGAGAAAGAGAACATGTGCTGATGGCAGTGTCACGCCTAGGCCTAGACCCACAGAATATTCTAGCAAGTCCACATGCATGAAGGGCTCCGAACAGGGCCTGGACGGAGCACAGTGCTGAAATGTTCACTGTCAGTGCCTCTGCTCTCCGACCCATCCCCCTCCGTCACTCCCATTCTTAGGCCCAGCCATGCACAGCTTGGGCCCACACTGCCCACCCCGCGCCACTGCCCAGAGGCCCTGTCAGAAGCCAGGCCCAGCTCCCAGGCAAAGCAAGGCTCGGCCTCCCCTTTCCGCTGCCACCGAATGCCCCACGCAGTTATCCGACTGTCATGTCTTCTCCCCCTCACTAGTCCGGGCTGGGCACAGGGTCACTCAAGGGACTGCATCATGGTCACTGTGGGCTCCCCGGTGCCCCACACGCACCTGGTCCAGGGAGGTGCTGGCTGATGAGTGAACCCTAAAACCCAACCCCCAAGCCCACATTCTGGGCGAGAACGTGCAGTTTCCTTGGCAAGCACTTGGATAATCTGTATCCCTCTGGCAGGCCCAGAGCAGCCTCGCCAGGCGGACCAGTCTCTAGCCCTCTTGACACTCACGCTGGCCTGGTACTTGGTCATCACCGTCAGCACGAGCTTGGCATAGGCCACAGAGGTGGTGGCTGCCAGTCCCTGCTCACAGAGTTTCTCCATCAGGACACAGAACTTCTCAGGGGCCATCTCCACCTGTGTGCACGGGAGATGGGGCAGCAACGTGAGAAAGACCCGGGCTCTTCATTCAGCCACCCCTGGATTGAGCTCCCAGCACCCCCATATCCTAGCTGAATGAGCCTGTCAGGGAGCTACCCCTGTGGCTCTGGAATGTCCCCAAAATCCCATGTGCTGAAGGCTTGGTTCCCAGGTGGGAGGTGGGGCCTTGTGAGGAGTTAGGTTATTGGGTGCGTGCCCTTGAGGGGGATATGGGACCCAGGCCCCACTTTGATTCTTGGCTGCCAAGCCCCAGTACCTCTAAATGGATGGGTGGGTGGGTGGATAGATGGGTTGATGGGTGGATAGATGGGTTGATGGGTGAATGGGTGGATGGATGGGTGGGTGGATGGGTGGATGGCTGGGTGGATGGGTGGATGGATGGGTGGGTGGATGAGTGGATGGAAGGGACTAGCTGGCATAATGATAGAAGCTAAGTCCCATGACAGGCTATCCCCAGCGGTACTGATAGAATGGCGTATTCCTAGTCCAGAAGCCTCAGAACCAAAAGATAATGGTGTAACTCTCAGTCCAAGACTGCAGAG